ATCCACTAGTATCTACTTTATTAGATATTCTTTTTTTTATACCGTCTCCAATTTGTCGGCACGTATTATTGCTATAAAAAAAAAAGGAATTTTCTTTGTGTTCGAAACAACGAGATAGTCGCTTTTATCTCTCACTTTTTTTTTTTGACTACTTTCTTTGTAGTCTAAAATATCAAGCCACGAATTAGCCTACTTTCCCAATTATTCTGGAGCTTTGCTTCCTTACAAAGAAGAATACGAGAGGGATGTAATTACATATAATTCTCCTTGACGTGTGATATGCTCTTGGAAAATAGAACAACCAACCTCGCAAACGAACTTTCCTTAAGAGAGTTAAAAATTTTTGAGATTACTTTTACGCGTTGAAGAGATTTGTCGATGTTTGTTAAAAAATATATAATGACAAAATACGGAGTGTTGCTTGCAAGGCGATTTAACTTCAGTATCAAGATATACATATAATATCTTTTAAACTTTGCTTTTTAGTTTTTATGATTACAAAAAATTAATGAATAGCAAAAGGAATCATTTTTAATGTGAAAATTTTTTTGTATTCTTAGTTGTCTTAAGTAATAAATAGATATATGATTAACAATATTCTCTCTTTTTCTCTCTGTCTCTCTCTTTTTTAAAGAATTATTTGAAAAAGGTCTATAAAAGAAATAAACAATCTGAAAGATTTCTTGTCACGATAGTATTGACTTTTCCATGCTACTAATTAAGAACTAAACATTTCTCTAACAAGATCTTAGAATTATGAGTCATTAAATGCAGGTTATTTCACACGAGGATATTAGCAAAATTGCTCGTCAAACATCGATGTAATTAAGGCGACGTAAGCCATGGGTCACTGAAAAATGCTATGGACACGCGATAAAGGGAGCAAGAAAGGGCACAGTGTCACGCGATATCACGAAAGTATATGAGTGAGTATATATGCACATCTGACGGTGATTCTTAAATATCATTTTTTAATGCCCGATTTCAAGGCATCACGACCACACCTTCCTACTATGAAATTCAATATGAAAAAAATGAATATTCAAAACGCGGTTGCGATAGAATCTTACGAGTTTCTTGCGATCTTAACTGCTTTGATTATCACGTAAAAAATATTTATGAAATCGATTAGATACATTCTACTGAGTTTAATAGAAAGATAATGACTGGTTTTATCTTTCTTATTGTAAATTCTGAAGTAGCAAGATGATGTATTAATAACGCTTTGACATTAAAGTTGTCATTAAGACGTTATTAAGACGTTATTTGACATCATCTTGTCACTTGGCTTAACCTATCTAAAATTTAGTTTAAAAATTTATTAAAAATTATTGTACACATTTTTTAATTTTATTTTCTTTTTGTCATATTAAAATTATGGTATTTTGGAAAGAAAGGAAAAATATAATTTTTGAGAAATGGATATAAATAAAAATAGTGTTAATATTTTTATAAAAAGTGATAATTTGAAGGAATATAATGAATTAAGGAGAGTATAAAGAGGGTTAAGACAATATTGTATGCACAAACCAATAATATAATTATTTATTTTATTTAAATAATAATAACAGGAGGGAATAATAAAATATTAGTAACCTTCTCGTACAAATTGAATAGAAACATTTATTTCTTATCGTAGAAATTTTGAAGCTTACATTTTCTTCGAATGTCAGGCTTGGTCTTGTCAGTATTGAATTTTTTCTCATTTATCCAACGATGTAGTGCTCTCAAGCTTTAATATCGTCGTGCCCGACAAGTCGATTTAGACTATTTCTTAACATCTTATCCACCTTCATTAAATTATGAAGCAAAGCGGAATAATGTTGAAGTTCCATATAATACGATAATTAATATATCCCCAATATATATATTGTAATAAGTTATATTGATTAACAAATTAGTGTGGAAAGAACATGTAGTTACGTACTTTGAACAACTGTTTAACAAATTAGTAGCACACAAGTAGTGTCTTGTGAAGCTAAGTAAGTGAAAGCATTGAAGTAAGGAAAGTGTCAATGGAATAGAACTTTCAGTCATTGACTGAAGTAGTTAAATTCGGTTGTCACGCGGCAGAAAATTGGATCCTTACTTTGAAAGTTATATTCGTGGTAACGAAATAATTCAAGCATTCTAAGTTTTGAGCTTGAACTTTGAACTATTCAGATCTTTTGGATTTAAAAGTATCTATAGTACATTAGTATCTAAATTCAATCAAAATTGTCCTCTTATAGGAGCAGATAATAATCTCTACGTCTTTAATTAGCTTGAAAAAATATTTTCTATATCTGGATTTATAAAAAGAGAAATAATTCTTTTTTCAAAAGTTAATGGAATTGATCTTTTAAGCTAAAATATTATGAAATCATCAGCTCATAGTAACGTTAAGAATATATGGATTGTTAAAGTTGTTGAGTAACGAGTAACTATAGGCGACAACTTTTACGCAGCTTGTAACAGCGAATCAATTCATGTGCATTAAAATTTAAACTCTCTCTGAAGCAGATTTACCCGTGAAAAGCAGTAGAAACACGTCGTCGACTCTTGCATCGATCAGTTTTTTTTCACAGTTATAACAAGATGTTTTTTCGGCGTCACGTCATTCTTCTTTTTAAAAGTAATCTTAATATGATGTCCTTCATAGATATTATTGTCAGTTGGACGAAATCAGAGCTGTACATTTTGCACGATAGTCATATTGCACTCTTCTCGTGGAGCGGTCGAGTTTAATATTTCTTGCCAGATTAAATCATATTTTCCAAGACGCTGCAAAAAATTTGCTTAAAATTTCTACCTCGATGACTGAAACTAAAATAACCGAAACGATAAAAAAAAAGCGAATATAAAAAGGCAATATAAAATAAAAATCAGTTTTTAGGTATATATATATTATATATAATTAAGCTTAATATCTCTTATATATTTTTTTCTATATTTATATTTCTACATACTTATTAAAATTTTTTTTCTAATATTATGGTTTATATTTAATTGTTTAACAGTTATGACATGCTTTAAAAAAGTATGAAAGTATTCGATGACAATTAGTATAGAATTTATTAGAAACAATCATGGAAAATAATCTAGTTTGCTATTTTCACCTAAATTAATGTATTATAAGTGATTAGTGTCTTATTAATCCTTGTCAGAAATTTTTGTTCTCTAGTAATGAATATTGTGATACAGTATAGGATATAATCGAGATTGGAAATTACGAATAGTGCTGTTTCATTTTCAGAAATTTTCCAAAAGCTTTGATAAATAGCTGTTGTCGAGCGAACAAAGAAAACTTGCACGAGTCTACGTCCGCTGAAAGTTATATATAAGTAACAAATCTTCCGCATCAATCTGCCATACATTTGCCGATTAATCACACAATAAAAAACTACTGTTAAATCGCAATTCCTTTTCTATGTATGCTATAATGTATTATGTATATATAATATTTTATTGATTGAATATTATATCCATTTAATTTTATACTGATTGTTATACAATAATAATAATTTTATTGTAGTAACTTTTACAGAATTTAATGTAATTAAACAGTGTAATTAAAAATCCAAATTATTCAGAAGTTATTAAAAAAATTTTTGTTATTTGAGACATACACAATAAATAAAGAACGCGATTGGCTTGATTTTCTAAAAGATTACCACGATTGCTCTTTGAGTATCTTTATTGTATATTGAGTGATACGTATTTTCTATGGTAATTAGTGTATTTTCCTGTTGTAATAATAACAGTGTACAAAGAAGAGAGGTAAGAAAATAACGGTATCACGTGCAACGCGATAATGTTGTCGCAGTTAGGAGCTGCGAATTGCATGTCTATACGGCAACTATATAATTCTTACGAACTAGACCTACTAACCGAGACACGTCGACTATCGATCTATAATATTGCACGCACATATGTGTGCCGTAAGCAAACATTGTGGGTATGCGCTCACTTTAATGTCTGCGCATACGTAACGCAGGCAGAGAAAATAAAATATGATAACAGAAAGCCTGGAAATTTGAGGAATTCTGTATACTCGAGCGAATTAACATTATTATGTACAAAACGGAAATTTGTGTATTTCTTGATGAAACATTCTTTTAAAGTGTCTTTGCTCTATATTTTTTGTATATAGAATTATAGATATATGTTGCAACGTAAAACGTTATGATACAGTTACATATGTAATCAGTATAAATCTCTAATAAAAAAGAATAAGAAAAGTTGTACAAGTTCATTATTGCTAATATTCACTTTGGTCCGTTACTCTGGTAACAATACCTGCAAACAATACCATATTCCGTTATGAATAGCCGAAGTACATCGACCACGAAACTTGAACACATGTAGACCCAGATAAATGGCGAATCAGACCATTTAAGCAGAGAAGAGATTTCTTTGTTCTCTTGTGTATCATTGTAATTCGAATGAAAGAGCTCTAATTATGACGTTTTGCATTGTCATCTTTAACGAAATTAATTTTTTGATTTTTTAGTGGGCAGGGAGAATGCGAGTATATTTGTGTATTATCTCCATCGAATTTCTTATAATATTTAATTTATATATTACTTAATTAATTCAATAGCCACGTAGGATAAGTAAAGTATATTATTTGTTACTGACCAAAATTAAAGGTTAAAGAAAATTGTTTTAAGGTGCTATTTTTTGATATATCGTTTTATATCACACTTTTTAAGTACCTTATACTTTATATAATATGTTTTGACATTATCCGTTCCATGACGAAAAATTTTTTTTTGACAGGGCGAAAGTAGACGGCAACCGACGAGGCCCTACTGACGCAAGCTGGAGAATCGTGCGATCTTGGTGACCTGGGCATGGTTTTAGTTGTGACGGCGGGGCGATGACGCTCAATCACCGTCCGCCGTCATTAGCAGGAGTCCCTCAGGACTCACGCAGCTCCCTACTTCCGGTCCCGGTCTCCGACAATTATCGCTATTTAGCGAGGAACATCGTGAAAACTGTTGCAGCCGGGAGAAGATATGAGAGACCGCCCTCATTATCGAGATCACGGGCATGCCATGCCACTCGAAGAGGCACAAGGGCTGTTACTTCCACCCTCCAGAATAGGTGAGTTGTCTCTTTGTAGCGTGATGTTTTTTTTTTCGTCTTTAGAACATCTCCTTAATGTGTACAAAATAAGTAGCGGAACTACAATTCTACGTGGGATACTTTAAACAATTTAAGAATGAAGATTACTCAAATACATTATATAAAATATATTATTATATATAATATAAATTATATTTTAATTATTTTAGTTTTTTTTTCAAATATCTTACAAGTTATATGTTGATATTTTTATTTTATTTTATTTTTATTTGATTTGTATTGTCTTTAATTTGTAATGCTTATTAATTTAAAGTAAATTGTCTTTATTAAATGTCAACATTTGGCTCTTGGCCCTTCTTTTATTTTATATGTTTTATACTTAAAGAGCCTTATATTATAATATTGATAAAATCTTTATATTTTCTTCAGTTATGTTTTCATTTCCATAATTGTTAAAACTGAAATCACAATTTTAAGATAGTGAATGATGACAATTCATCTTTTTTGCACATTGTTGTTATAAATTTCGCTGATTTGACTGATGAAAATACTTGCCAGTTTATATATATATAATATTGTTTTTTATTTTAATAAATTTATTCAACAAATATTAGAATCTTTTTACGACCGTACAATTGATAAACAAACAATAATAAGAAGAAGGAAGCACGAAGCAAAGCCTATAACGGTCAATCACAATAATCTTAATAATATCGCAATCTTATTTTTCACAGATTTAAATTTATCATTACTTTAACATTACATCGTTAAATTTTAATATGTCTTTCAACATATTTATTATTAAAATCCAGATGTGCTATAAGCATCTAAAAATTGTTAGATTGCTTGTCAATTTAACTAAAGTGATATTACCACGATAGTTGTTTAGAGTTGCGTTGTAAGTCTGATAAAAATTTCGGCACGCGATTGGGGGAACTACATACGCGGTATATAAAATTCACACATTATTATAATAAGCATTGTGATCTAGCGTTGATCGTTATAGGCTTCGTGCTTCCTTCTTCTTATTATAAATTTATTCGTTTTAATAAATTATCCTGGACACATCGATATCATAGAAAATAATTTTCTTGTTTTTCCTGCAATATAAATGCATAATAGTGGAGTTTTAATTTTTAATTGTGCTTGTACACAATAGGTACATATAGTGCGTTATTATGCCCATCGTTAAAATGCTACAGGTTTAATAAAAGGGAAAGAGCTGTGCAACAAAGGTTTAGCCTTGCTCTGCGCTCGGTAGAGGATTACGGGCATATTATATAGAACGCGTGCATGCACGCGAGCATTTCTGCGTGTAAGACATAATACCTATATATGTAGACGTATTAAAATGCCTCGCGCGCGGAACGATTCAACTCGCCCGTTATTGAACTTCCAATACTTCCATGAAAATCCGACCTGAATTCCGCCAATGGCGGAAACCGCACGTACATATAATTCACGGAAATTCGTGGAAATTCCAGTTTTACGAGTGCCAGTCTGAAATCATAAAATTTCAACGTTTCTCTTTATTACTGATGTGGCCACACATGTGTAATGATGATAGCAGCGGTTACGATATCTCAGCCAGTATGTTCGCCTAAAAAAGTTCAGGTATCAAAGTTTTTATCAAGGTCAAAGTAAAGTGTATACCCACTGATTGCCCTAAGCATTTATTGTACATTTCCTATTTTCTCAATTTGTTTTGACTAATAGCTGTGTTGTACATAACAAAGGACATTTAAAATATATGTTACAACAGATTTTATGACGGGATACCTTTGTATTCTTCAGTAATTTTATAATAAATTATTCTTACCAATAAATTTATTGACATATAAAACAGAAATGCAATATTTTATTTTATAAAATAATTTATTTATAATTATATGTATTTCTATAGCTTTGAGGTGTGCTCTACATATTTTAAATTTAAATGAATTTAAAAAAAATGTAATTTTATATTTATTTGCTGATTATAAACAGTAACTACATACGCGTTTCTCGTTTAGCTTATTCTCTCTATATATATCTGCAATGAGACATAATGACCGCAAATTGCGTGAATATATTTTCTTCGGGATTAAAGTATAAACCACCTTTACACGTTATGAGGTAACTGCTAAATCAATAGATGTGATATCGTTGATTGTGCATTAAATTATTGCACAAACGAATCACGGCCGTTTTAGGAACAAAAATATATGGTTAAACGGATTCAATTTTAGCTCAATTTATTCGCGGATGAGGAAAATTACATGGTAGTTAATTATCATTTACAATTAGCGCGACACATCTGCGAAGTGCTGATCTTCTTCTTTACATTTCAGTCGCTATTGTCTAAAAATAATTTTGCATAAAATATATAATTAAAATAAGAAAAATAATAAAAAAAGCGCACATAATTAATAAAATATATAATTAATAAAAAAACATCCCCTTCTTAGATTCGACTATTTACGCTTAATGAACTGGTTCATCATGATATTCTTTCGTTCTCTCTCTCTCTGTTTTATGGTAGGTAACCGGGGACCTCTGAATGTAACGATTGTACAGGTTGGCAGAGGAAATGGAGGAGGTGGAGATGGCGGAAATGATTTACTGAGATTGGAACCACCATCGGATTTGAGACCGGCTCCGTCGCCCCTATCTGATACCAGTACTATCTTACAGTCTGACAACAATGACACTTTGGTTGGAGGTGAGAAAAAATATATTATATATACTTACACCTAAGTGTATTATACTCCCACTTCAAAAATTGCCAATATTTGCAAAGTATTTCACCGATCTTTAATTTTGATACGAAGAAAGGAATATTCTTACGATTTTTATCTCTTGCTACTAACATTTGAAATAAATCTTTGTGCTAAAGGTTTTGACTATATTGGGTTAGGGAAAAAGTATTTTTATAAATAATATATATATTTGTAAAATGACCTTTATTTTACAATATCATTGTTAAAAATAAACAAAATTTAAATTAAAAAGAAAAGATTTTAAAGCTTGAAATCTCTATTTTCGAAAGATTACTTTATTTTTTGAGTTTCTATGAGTTTGGTACTTTTTACATATAAAAACTACGAACTGAAAAAAATAAAAAATTTTTTTCACTTTGTGGGTTTTTACGTGTCCAAACGTAAAAATTTTTGTCTACCTATTGTAAAAGTTCAAAGTTCTCCCTACAAAATAGTTTTTTAAAAATATTTCTACGATTTTTTTGTTCCTGAGTTATTCGCGAGTTAAGTAAAGGAGAGCATTCTGATTTTGATTGCTCATACCTCTGTTAAAAATCATCATGCCGCAATTAAAAGAATAGATTTTTAAAGTTGAAACTTTGCTCTATTGAATGATATTATTGCAACAAACTTTTGTAACAAATGGTGGATTGAGGGAGGGTCCTTTTACATATATTATACTATGTAAAAAAACTTTTTTTCCAATTCAATATCTATATTATTAATATTAGAACATTCCAATTTTTAACGTCTAATTATAAGTTTTATATTATTTATTAAATTTTATGTTTGAGAGAGAGAGATGAACTAAAATACAGTTGTCAACAACATGAGAAGTATATAATAATAAGTAACAACAAAATATGCTCTCTTTTTCATATTTATTGTAAATAAATGACATATCCAAAATATATTTAGGTATATCATATCATGAAAATGTATAAAATCCATTAATTATTCGAAGTCCATTAATTTGCATATTTTTTCAATGAACTGACAGCGCTTTATATGCCATTTACTAATTCAGAGGTTTGGCTACAATTCGAATAATACATATGAAGATGTAACAGCCGACCACAAAACTTTTCAAATTAATAGTAATAATTAATATTAATTACGGATTAATTAATTAAAAGTAATTACTAGTAATAATTAAAAGTAATTAAGGACAAATTAATAGTAATAACGGATATAATTAAACTAATCTTGTTAAATTAAGCTTCGCTAAATATATGTGTAATAATTGAATGTCATAATGTTTGATTACAGCGTGATTATAGTGTTACAATATTCATTACAGTACAATATAGTATACATATATCACATTACAATAAAAAAAATTACCTTTTTTTTATTCCGCATATATAATTTTTTTCTTTTTATATCTATTTATTCTGAAATATATGTAATTATTTTTCTAATTAAAAGAAAGAATTTTATCACATTATTTATTTGCATATTACAATTAATATTTATAATTTTGTAAGAAACTAATATATTTGTGTTTAAAGAAAATATTCTATTATGTTTTGTGAAAGTATATTGATGCAAATATGAATAAAAAAATCATGAAGATTGTTAAAGTTATTAAGTCATTCAATGTTTTTGTTATCTTTTATCAATTGTAAAAACATACAGCAAGCAAGATGTATCATATAATTTATTTGGTATATTTCAAAATATTATGATTTTATTTAAATATACAAATACGTATATGATATCACGTTTCAAAATACTCATTAAGAGAATTTAAATATATTTCATAAGATTATATATTATTTTTTTATATTGTTTGTTATTGTGTTTCACATGTGATTTTATTTTAAATTTTTACAATTACATCAACGAGAAAAATATATTTTAGTTGTATCGGCTAAAAGTACAAACAAAACAAATTCTGATCAATTGAATCAGAACTCTAGTTATCGTAAATTGAATTTCTGATCATCTTGAATAGAATGCTTCATAAATTTAACTACAAGTATATGATTTGTATCTTTCTGATTGAATTTATCAGAATTCCAATTAATGTACAAAACTGATTTCTAGTGATATATTGCCTTCATGAGTTTTATAAATATTTGATTTCACTGAAATGGTAATTAGACATTAAACTGACTGAGATTGATGGATAGAAAACTTGATACCATTTCTACATGCAACAAAAAGGAAACTTTTTTCCTATACTTGGTTAATTGTGCTGTACGTGTGTGTGTGTGTGTGTATGTGTGTGTGTGTGGTACCATTAATTACAACTTTTTGGTGGCCCGCTAGTTATATTTCTTAAATATTGACTATCGAACCGCTCTGCGTGACGGTTTGTGTGACCTCATATCCTGCAACCGGAAGTCTTTCAGCAGGGAGCTTTCGGTTACAGTCAATTGTATACTAAGGAACGATGAAGGAAAAAGTCAGAGTGCACCAAAAATAGATGTATAAAAGACGAAAGAAATTGGTTATTAAAACGCTTTATATTTTAAATATATTTTTAGTATAAACATTTAGTTATATAAAAGTACAATAAATGTACAATATTTATTGTTGTGACCAACTATCTTTTGTTAAAATTGTAATTTATATTTATTACATAGAAAATCATAATTTTTATAATAATTTAATTTAAAAAAAAGACATTTTTGTTCTTTTAGTTACTATCAAATACACACAATGACTATTCTTTGAAGGAATTTAAATCAAATTGCATATAGTAAATATTACAATATAATTGATAATTACGGCTTGTATCGATTTATTTACAACTTTATCACAAATTTAATAGAAATGTAAAATTGATAAATCCAGGTGTCGATCCAAGGCTATTGCTGGGAACTGGTAGCGATCGCGCTTGGGAAGGTCGCTACCACGTCAAGGAACATCGACGTGCTGGGAAAGCCACCTTTCAGGGTCAAGTTTATAACTTCTTAGAGCGTCCCACTGGTTGGAAGTGCTTCCTGTACCACTTCTCTGTGTAAGTGCAATTTTTTGTATCTGCATGCAATTTAGTGTAGTTTTTTGGTGGAAAACTTGACAAAATATTACATCATTATCACTCAATGTGGTAACTTATTCGTAAGGATTATACGAGAAAAATTGACTATAAACGAAATTTTTAGAAATGCGTTCTTATCAAGAATAGTCTTTATATTCTATTTATTTTTTATCTCCCAATGATTATTATGTAATCTAATATCTTACAGCTATAATACAACTAATATAAAATAAAATAAAGAATTCAAAACGCGTATTATATCATTATTATCGATATATATATCAGTTATTCATTATCATTATTATCAGTTGTTTCCAACGCTCAATATATCAAAGAAAGGTTAACGTATTTGACGGCACTACATTAATCTTTTTTCACTTAATAAATATTATTAATATAATGCTTCAAGAAAGATTGATAGCTGTTCAAAAATTTTTCCTGCTTTTAAAGAGATCTGATATATAAATAGTTAAGTAGCGATGTCTTATATAATATGCATAATGTTTAGAAATTAATCCTGACAAAACGAGTGCTTTTAATTTATAGTCTTTGTCATAATCAATTATATAGTGAAGATAAATTAAAAAGATTTTCTTTTTGAATAAGTCAACAAATAAAAAGTTGCAAAAAAATATATATTTATAAATAAGTCAAACACGAATCGAGGAAATGCTTTTAAGAAAATTTAGATCTGTTTTTACAGTGATATGTTTTTTTCAACGTTATTGTATAATTTAAATTCACGAAGACGAAGTAAAAGAAGTTACGACATCGTAATTCAAGCAATATGTTTTTGGATCACGGTTTACGATGGGTACTGTAGCGAGGAAAGCACAATTGTTTATTAGAAATTTATATGACGGACGAAATATCTCTGTCCGTATGTGAAGCGCTTTATGCTTCCCTGGAGTATTCTTCAGTGTACGTCGATAAATAATAAAGCTTTATTGCCATGTGAATTACCTGTTGGAATTTATCGTAAAAAGTTGAGAGAGAATCAAATTAACGCAATATATTTTTGATTACAACACAAATAATATAGAATATACTATTTAATAATCTAGTATTTTTTAAGTTACATTTATTACAAGTATATGTACAAAATCACATAATTACATAATTCTTATTATGATATACAGGTTACAATTAATAGTTATGACATCTACTGATTATCTTTTCCTACAAGATATTCTTATAATTAGAAAGAACATATATTTTTCTACAATTAATCATTTCACGATCTTTAACAAGTAGGTACAATCTGTATTCTTATTAAAATAAACTTCGTAAGATAAAGATACGTAGAAATGACAAAGGAACATAGTATTTTTTTCTTTTCTTTACTTTCAAGATATCTACAGATTGTTCATACGTAGATAGTCGTATGATTCGCATAGCTTATATTTGATGCGCACAGATGGCGGACCCCATACTGAGGTAAGATTCTCTACTCTACGTCAGATCAATATTCATTTTTTACAATTTTTATCTAGAGCAGGGATCTGCATTAAAGTATGTAATTTTTGAACGTTTTATTCTTCAATTTTCTAATGTATCCCATTTTTAATTACATTTATCTTAAAATTAGAACTAATTTTTGTTATTGGAAGATCATGTTAGGTATAAATTATATATACCCAATTGATTAATTTTTTATACTATATTATGCAAGCTAAACTTATCAAGCATTATCTTCTAGAAACTACTTTTTTCTCTCGAAAGAGGAAGAGAGCAACGTTTCATAACTTACTAATGATTTATGCAATTCCAATATTGCAATATTTTACTGTCAAGTATAATATATTCCTGATGACAAGATGTATGTATGTACACGTTCAAAAGATATGCTTAAGATATGTGTTAGAGTAATACTATTGCTATTCTTTTTACATTCGATCTGTAGCAGTCGAGCAGTAGGAAGGGAAGGGATAGATATTGATATCTCGGTTATTTTACGGCATTACCATTGAGTGAAAGAAATATGCTAGGGTTGTTGTGCCAGGTGACGTTCCACCGACATTAAGTAATATATTGAGGTGTGTAGGGCAGAGAGTGGGATAACGCAGTTGAATCGGTATATGGTACCTCTGTCAGATCAAAGAAATTACATTGAAAGAAATTAGTCGTTTTATACATATATAGGTAGATAAATAAGTGAAAACATTAATATTTCATTACGCTCACACATGTATAAATGCAAATTTTTATCGTCTTTTTATATTCCAAAATAAAAAAAATAGCTTTATGAATTATTTAAATAAATATATTAATTACGTATAAATATGAAACAAAAAATTTTTTTAATATTGTAAAGAAGTGTAACTGCTGACTGATTGTGTGTGTGTGAGTATCACCGGACTGCATTAATACTTCTGTCTGTATTTAGAGATCACTATTTTTCGGGATAATATTACGTAGGAAAGGGAAGATTAGTGTGTCAGTTTTTTGAATGTATTTTCGAGCATTTATATAATATTTTTTTTAATACAACGATATTTTCTGTCTTTATCTTTACATCATAAGAAATCATAAAGATATATAAATTATCGTGATTAATAAAATATATCTCTTAAAATATATCAAATTTAAACTATATTTTGTTATTACGACCTCCAAATTTAAATTTTATGTGTCATTAGGATATTTCAAGTTGCCAAGGATTACCAATTTGCAACGGTAAAATGAATTATAAAAATAAATTTAACGAAATTATTATTATATCGAAAAATACAATTTTAATAATAATATTTAGCATGCTTGATTATTTTGTTGATGCCAGATTTCTATTTAAAAAATTTCGATAATGCATATTCTATGAAGCTGATATTTTATTTAGATTTTAAATGTCTTACTATTTTCTGATTTTTAACTTAATTTTCTCTTTATTTAACTTAATTTCGCTATCAATAAGCATGGAAACTTCTTTGGCCGATAAAATTGTACTTTCTTGTCGGATACTGTGAGATTTAGTGTTAATATTATGCTGAGAATGGCTAAAATGTATAGCCAAAATGTCCGGAAATATCAAACGTCGATGTAATCACGTATCATATGTTTTATTAAATATTTATATTCTATTAATTTGTGCATTTCTTACCGCGCTGACTCCTATTTGGCCGAATTTAATTTTCTTCGTTTTATTAAAATATAAGGAGTTCATTATTAATTATTGTATTTAATTTTCTTTATTTTCTCGATTTTAAATATTTAATATTTTTATTTCGATTTTTTTATTTAATATATATTATGTTTGTAAATTTATTACGATGTTTATAAAATTTTTATTTTATATAATTAAATTTAGAAAATATAACATTTATGCAACATAATCTTACTGGTATAAATTTATTCAAATTATTTCAAGTGTCTCAGATTATCAAAGTTTTTATTTATTTATTATGAAATTCTTTGTACACATATCAATCACGAAGCAATGATAAATATTTTATATAGAAGTTTTCTCAACACGCACTTTAAAATAAAGCTGCGCGTTTGTGTACTCCGTAGCAACTCAATTATTGATATAACGAAGCCTACGTCACACTTGCACCATGTGCTGCACATTGAGCATAATGGAGACAGTTTTGTGAGAAAAGTAGGATTGTATATGTGCACATAATATTATGATGAGCTAGTTTTGATATTACTGCTTTAGTTTTAAGTATATAAAATTAAAATAGTAATACATAAATTATATTTAAATATTAAATCTTATAGAACCGTACATGTGAGAAACACAACCAATAAGAAATAGTCTTTAACAGTCGAGCTGGATCTTAGGTGTTATTATAATTCCGTGTGAATTTATATGTATATTACGTATGTAGTCTTTTAAATTGCGCGCCGAACAATTTTTTGATCTTGAAACGCCATTCTACGAAACTACCGCAATGATATCACGAGTTAAATTATCTAGCAATTTAACAATTTTGATGCTCATAGTATCTTGGATCTTAATAATGTTGAATGACATATTAAAAATCTGTAAATAATTAATTTATATTGCGAAAAATATAAATTATTACACGCGAAAAGTATAATACAATGTAACATATCTTTTTCAAATCGAGTAGGTATCTTAAGTTTTACGTTATACGCTAAGAAACGACTGTTAAAAAAAAAATTAAAATTTTGTTTACCACATATCTTTATTATTGAAATGTGACATCGAAGTATGGAACAGTGCTATATAACTTTGTCCTATCCTTTTATAATACGCATTTCCGATTCATGAAATATATATATATCATCAACCGAAATATGCCTCACGTAAGCATGAAACGTATGCTTATATATAGCAATTTCAATAATTTAACCTAAATATTCTGACCACGAATTTTTCTTTCTCTCTTTCTTTTTTTATTTCCCCCCTTTCTCTTTTTATTTATTTGTGCCTTTTTATATATACGTTTTCATTTATTTACGTCTTAGAAACGAAATCCTCGTGATATTCCGTCATTTATAGTGAGTTATGAGTCCTACGTCATTTGCAGTTTGTTCTTGATGCCTAGAGGATGGGAAGTTATCGTTATTTTACGATAGAAAATTTTTCATGAGATATCAAATGCGCAGTTGGAGAATGACATAGATTTATGATCATGAGTACTCTTCAGTAATGTTAAAGATGAGAGAGAAACAAGATCGTTGACGAACTACCCTAGGGATACGCGATGGAAAGATTATCTAACCAATCAATACCAATTTTTCTCTTACTTTTATAATTTTGCATATATTTAAATAGACGCAAAATATATACGATAATGAGTCAAATATTCGAAATAGTTCTTTTTGTGAATACTTTTATACTTCTAAATCTTCAATAAATCTAAATCGTCAATAATATATTTTTTTAATAGATAGAAAATAGCAAAATTCCGTCTGAATTTAAAAAAAACGTCTTTTCATTAAGAACAATAAAAATATTATATACAGGGTGTTAAAAGAAATCATTCAACATTTACATAGCTGATAGTACCTATATAC